AAAGGGGATGATCATGATTTATGAATTTGCCTTAAATTTTTCAGGCCAAATGTGCTTCAAACCCCATTCACGCCCCAAACAAAACATTTTTCTTAACGTAAGAATGTTGTTCGTTGAAGTTTAAGGCCCTGCGCTAGAATTAAGAACCATATTTGCTGGTGCAGGATATCCTTTCTCCTCTCTCCGCCTTTCCCCGCCTCTCTCACTCCTACTTCTTCCACTTTCCGCAGCTTGCGAACGGCGCGCTTGCTCTAGCCCAGCGATTTGAGCGCAAAATCTCCCGGCTTCGCCATTGCTGGACTGAGCTGGAAATCCAGTCGTATTTTCGCTCTGACGTCGTTGTAGTGACTGTTGCTGCTTCCCTCTGGAGGCCTACTCGAGTTTGGAGTTGGGCCCACCCTTTTCAGTCCAAGGGGGTAGGGTAAGGGGCACAAAAAGGAGGAAGGCAGGGGGAGGGGGGGAGACCAATGAACGGAGAAGCATACATTCCTGCCGCCAGACTCTCCCCCTTCCGCTCTCCTCCGCTCTGGGCGATTGTCTTCGACTCTCTTGCCCCGATCTTTATCTCTGCTGCGTGTGTTTGCCCTTATCCGAGCGAAACAAAACGCGGCTGCCCTAGCTAGACCAAGTGCATAACAGATATCGGGTCATTTGTGTTCGCGTTCAAAGTCGTAACGTCTGTAGTGGAAGCCATGTGTTTTCCATTAGAATGGTGTGCGGTGCAATTGCACACGCAACCCTCACTTTTTAAGACAATGTTGTTTTGTGGTGTTTGTCTCTGTGCATGGGGCTTGCGAGCTTGTTTAAGTAGAGAGAAGTTTTGTGGGGCAGAGGTGCCAATTGTTCGTGTCAGTGTGTCGCCCTGCTATTGTGGAAAGCGAAGGGCCGCCCATATTTCCCCCTGTGCCTGGCTTTATTTTTAAAGGGTTAGCGGTGGCACTGCGGGGGGAACGCTCTGTGAATGTAAATAACACGGTAGTGCGGGTATCTGCCGGGGCCGTTTGGGGACGTCTCGGACCGAACCTGCGGGAGGAAAGAAGGCGCTGTTTATCCAGGGGAGACAGAACGGGGACAGAGCGACAGAGAGCGGTACGGAGAGAGGGAGGAAGAGGCAACGGGTCATTGTTCTGCAGTGTACATACTAGAGAGAGAGAAAGAGAGACGGGGGTGGGTGGGAAGGGTCGAAAAGGTCCGAAAACAAATTGAGGCGGCTTTTTCATGCAAGGGTTCAGGATTAAATGACCCCCTGATTTAAATACAAATGCGCGGTCTAGCTTTAGGCGGCCCGTATAGCGACACCACTAGGCATTGCCGTATAATACATCCACGGTCTCGGCCAGCACGCTGCTTCTGTGATGGGAAGACGTCTGCTGCTCGCTGGCGCCACCAGAACACAGCAAACTTTCTACTTAGTATAAAAAAATATTCCATGCGATGCAGTTCTATCGCCAGTAGAAGCTTCGCTTCTTTAACTTTCGGACCTTTTACTTCTTTTTGCGTAATGTTTTTTTGTGCTGTTTGCGTTTTCTAATAAAGGCTTTTCTTCGCGGCTCAATGTTGGCTGCACCGTATTGATCCCTACGCCATTCGTCTTCAAGTTCCTCTGCAGTCATGACGTTCTCGCCTCCACCACCTCTCATTTCCCTTCCCACGCCTTTAGCTCGTGAAAAGACAACGGAAAAGTTTGCTGCTGAAATTCCTTCTCTTTTCGAACCCGTAAAACTTTACGAAACAACGCACAGTGTTGTGGGCATTGGTTTCCGCTCTGGCTTTGCTAACTGTCCCGCTGAAAGTTGTCTTCTGCAAATCAGCCGGTGGCTCCACCACAGTTTGGCTTCCTGACAGGCTTGCGAAAGGGGGTCGCGTCACCTGTGGCAGGGAGCCCGACTGGCGCTCGGTGCCACTGCACAAGAACCTAGCATGCTGTTTTTTTTTTTGTTTTTGTTTTTTTTAGTATTGTAGCTGACTTAGGTCAACAGCCTAAGATACAAAATTGTGACCAGCAAGACGTAACCAGAAGAATTTGTCAACGGTAAATGGTTCCTGGAACCTGCTTCAACCCTGTTTTCTTTTGCAATAAAAGCATGGCTGTCAGGCATTTGCCGCATTTCTCCCCTTCGAGCTCAGTTGTTCCCAATCGGTTGCTCCTTATGTGGCAGGTGGGAATTGCAGACTGCTGACAGTAGGCGTTTGGCGAGCGCCAATATACCCAGGTTTTACGATCGGTCCAGAAGTTCGGATAGGCAGGAGGCTGCGCGCAAATATTGTCACCACGGTGGAAATGAAACTCCCGAGAGATCGGTGCATCCAGAAAGATGCTGAGATGCCAGAAAAGGAAAGAACCTTTGGAAGGTGTGCTCTTGTCTGGCTCGGATTTTGTTTTAAGAGATAGGGGGCGATCCGAAATGTTTTATATTCCACTTCCAAAAAATTGGGTTACTGTTTCTAGTTGAGTCTTGGCTGAGGTCGTCCCGATAAAACGCCCGGCCCGTGCTCCTGTTTAGCCGTCATTGCGACACTAATAAAGACTGTCACATTGGTTAAATCGTGACGTCACATTGGTCTAATTTCTACGTGACTCAGCTGGGCTAAATATGTTAACTTCTAAAGTCACGTCCAAACTAATGTGACAGTAAAATCCGAAAGAATGTGACAGTTTTCAGAGGTAAAGGAATGTGAGGTCCCGTACATTAAACAATAGTGAATTGGCTCTGTGGATGTCTGTGACTTTAACATTGCATTTATTCAAAGATGAGGCCCAAGGCCCAAGTAATTGCCATAATTACATCGTTTTTGCATTGTTGCAAGGGTTTTTTTGAGCTTCACCTCAAGTCAAAAATGAACTCACGAATTTGATGTCACTTTTGACTTGCAACGAGTACTTTTGCGTTGATTATCACCCCTTTTGGTGCGGACCAGTGACGTTCTGATCTCTCATTCCATGTTCCGCCGAGTCCCTCTCTCTCCCTCACATATCCCCCCCGCTCTCTCTTACTCAGGGCGTGGCTTAGTGAACAGGAGTGCGAATGGTCGAGGCGCAAATCCGATTTCCAAATTCAGCAGCTCTGACAAACGGCAAGAGGGTTTACCCAGTGACTTATGACCCACGGACCCGTGCTCTGACAAAACTGCGAAAGAGCGTGCTCCGAGCGCGCGCAGTTGTAGCGGCCCCGCCGGCAGCCCTACGTCCCACGTCGTGCACTGCAAACGTTACAGCTTGTGGCATACTTATAAATAAAGTGTGCAACTGGCGTGCGCAGCTACGGGCTGAACACTACCTTGCACACTTTGTTTGACTGTGTATTTGAATTCTAAAACGACAGTGGGTGGCTTTCAAACATAGAGTGGCGTTCTCACTCAGGCATATTAAGCAGCACGTGACTTGTTTTTTTTTTTAAAGTGCGACATGTTTTTTTCTAAATATGTGTTTGTGCTTTCTTGCAGGTTGGTGCTGCGTGGATTATTGACCTGTGCGGTGGAGTGAGCGAGGCGGCGGCCTGCCCCGGAATACGGGGGGTGCTGGCTGGTGAGTTTGCTCCCAAAGCGACCCATTTAGCATACATACAACTCTGGCCGATGAGGCCCGGTTACGTCCACCCGACACCTGATGCGGACGTCTCATTTTCTCTTCGAATACTGTTTCGTTCCGCCCGGCAGAAAGTGCATATTCATGCAGTACGCGCTCATAATGGCGGCCCAGGGAATGCTCGTGTATGGCCGAGTGTATCCTCACTGCTGCTGCTGCAGCAGAACGAAGCGACTATTAAATATTATTTTACGGCTGGAAGCGAGCTGCTCGGCTCGGTGTATATCCCTCCTATCCTATACTCGCCCCCCGCTCTGCCCGCCTGCTACGACTGACACCCTCACTGTGCAACGCAGCTCCCTCGGCTGTGGTTTGCGTTTCGTTCCTATGGAAAATGTTTTGTTGCCGATACTCGTGGGGTTTACAAACTCAGCGTGAGTTGGGGTACCCCGGAAGCGAGTGTGCTGTTGGCGCTGAGAGTTCCTCGCGGTCCCTTGTTATTACGACTATGTAAGCAGCCTTGTCAGGCAGCATCGGGTTTTCTTCGCGTACACCCAGAAAACTGAGTTCTTGGATCAAGAACACTGTACTTGATCACGGTTTCAGTCAAGAACATTTGCATATTGATCCAAGCAATTTTGACTTGGATCATCAAGGCAAATGTTCTTGACTGAAACTGTGATCAAGCACAGTGTACTTGATCCAAGAACTCAGTTTTCTGGGTGTAAGGTCCCTGTTGCCGAAGGTCGTGCTCCCACATCGCCCCACGGCACTTCCGTTGAACGGCCGACGTGGGCTAAGAGGAACTCCCGTGAGCCTGCTCTCTCGCAGCAATTCGTCCTCCCCACATGTCATTCTACTCCCTTTCTCCTTCCCCTGCCTCCTCTCCCCGTTCCTTTCCCTGGATCATGGCTGATTGCAATGGCGGGGGGAGGGGGGGGGGCTTGGCCCGGCCCGGCAAGGCTGTCCAGCTGGCAGCAGGCCGTGAGTGAAATTTGTTTAGCCGCTGCTTTTTGAGGAGGGTGCGGAGGTAGATAGAGGTAGATCGGACCAGGTGCACGGAAAAGCTGGGGATTCCGTCTGAGAAAGAGGGAGATGTACAGATACAGGTATCGCGGGGTTCGATAGGAGGGCGTTGGTAGCAATAAAGAAGGAACAGTGTATCAAATTCAGTCTGGGTCCACGACAACATGAGCACAGCGCTTCTTCCACTCTCCCTTTCAGTTTCCTTGTCACCTGCACCCCCCCCCCCTGCACCCCTTCTCCACTTTCCATCACGCGGTGTTTTCATCATCATACTTTTGCCACAACCGCGTGCTTCACCTGGAGCTTACGAAATTGTCAACTATGTTACGGAGAAAGTTTGCTCAAACACGTCGCGTAGAAAAGCGATATAGTGTTGTTTACTGGCGCTAAAGGTGGCTGCAGAAGTTAGTTTTGAGCTGAACAGATGTTCTGCATTTATACAAATGCTCATTTAACATGAACAATTTCTTTAGCTCCATTCGTTCAAAAGTGTAATATTAAAAATTGCACTCTTCGTATTTTTTATTTTTTTTTGTATTCTTTCTTTTGATAATTGTGAGGTATTTGCTGACTTAAACAAGTAACAGAAATTTAATAAAATAAGACACTGAGTAAAACACCCAATAATGAACTGCCATTTCCTTTCCGGAGTTTTTCTTTCAACGATTGCAATGATCTCTGCGTCGGGTCGAGACCGACGCTGTTTAAATTTTGCGCCCCCTTTTCTCTGCTCTCACCGCCTTGTGTTTCTGAGCAGCCGTTATATTGGATAGTTGCATGAGCCACGGTATTGGTTTCATGCTAATGCAGCGGCAGAGCGGCGGGTTGCGGCACGGTGCCGTTCGGACCAGGCCATGTGGCTCTCCGTGTAATCGCGCCCCATGCGGAAGGCCAAATTCTTTTTACACGAAAACTTTGTCGACTGCAGCGGAGTCTTCCACCGAGGGTCCTTTTTGTTGGGCGCTGAAAGGGACGTTAACTCGAGACGGTACTTTTATAAAGACATGCCCGGTTTTTCGGACTTGGGCTTACTTCTATTGAACAATAAGGGGGTGAGCCTACGCCAAATTCTGCAGTGTTATTTTATTTTTTGTTTTTGGCAGTTGATTTAACCCCTGCTTGATCTCTCGCCGCTGCATTGACGCCCATTCCACTGCTTAGTTCACTCAGTTCACACGCTGCCTTTTTCGTGGCCGCCGAACTGTTGTGTGTGTATGGAGGGTGTGGGAAAAAGGGGTGGGGGGGCGGTAGCGTTTCCAAAGGCGGTCGGGGCCGACACACAAGTGCCGCTTGCTTGTGGTCTCTTGCCTGGCTGCGAGCGAGGCGGGAGAAAAGATTAGAAAACTTCATGGGAAATGCTGCGGAGCAGTGGCGGCCGGCGGTCCCCGCCCAGACCGTGGCAGCCCGGCCTCGGTCGCAGTGCAGGCGACGTTCTCTCACAGGGAAATCGGCCCCACAAAAAACAAATCCGAGCAGGGACTGAATCTTCCCTCTTAAATCGGATAGTCAATGTGAACGTTCATGCTGCTTTGATAAAGTACTGCTGTAGATGAGCAAAATATTACTCTAAAACACAAAAGGAAATATTCACTCAAAAGTCAATGTGACGACCAGGCATGATATTCGCCCGGGAGAGCGATTATGTGAGTGAAAGGTGGGGGAGCGCGCGCAGACTGGTAAAGAGAAAGGGATGCACAGCCGCCGGCTGGAGAAAAGTGGGACAAGTTGTGCCAAGTTCTGCTGAATAAGTTCCATCATTTCGGAGGTAAGCCTGTCTGCCGAGATGTGCGCGTACCCCTTCCCCCTTCCTCTTCGGCTCTC